GAGGCTTCTGCTCCCATAAGACAGTCTCAGAAACACACACAGGCAGTTCCACCCTGTCCTACCGGCTCGCCTGAGTCAGAGGTGACTCAATGGCAGTGAGTAAGTGGCTCTGGGTGCGAGGGGATGGTCTGCAAATGACACAATTGGGGTTCAAAGTCACCAAACACTGTGGGCAAAGATGAGGTTGTCTATTTCCATAAAGAGTTAGTCTCTATAAAGGCTTGCTATGTATGGATCATAGTAAGCATGGGATTTTTAGATCAAATTGCGTATTTGTGACCTATTACAAGTATACAGTTTATTTTGAAAAGATTATTTTACTTCACTACATCTTATCTATTGGTAATTAAGTATATTTCTTCAAAAGTATATACTTATAATCTGTAGATTCCAATTCATAGTTAAGTAGCTTCTTTTCATACTGCAGCAATTCCATATTCCATAGGACAGTCCTATAGTAGTTTTTTGAGTAAATATAGCTTTTTAACCACTAAGCTATTAGTTAGTTTTTCAAGATAGTAGTTTTTCAAGTAAATATAGCTGTTTAACCACTAAGCTATTGCATGCATATTATTGTTCCTCCACAAGTATTAGAAGTTAAGAAAATTTGGTTGAAATATGTGATTAGTTATTAAAAAATGGTATCTGCATCAGTTTTTATTATGTAATTGTTATTAATTTTCCCTTATCTGTTCTGTTACATTATTTCTAGGTATAATATGCTATTATTTAAGCACATCAAACGAGTTAACAGCACGTCTATTACACCTGGACTTACCCTGGCATTGGCCCATTTGCAGCAAGACTGTATACCTGACGAGGATTCAACAGATACTGGAATTTTCTATATATTCTATAATTGTAAAAATAAGAAAGAAACGATATTTTAAATAAATAAAAATCCCTTTAAAGTAATAAATATATATTTAATGACTTTTTTGTCAATCATGAAAAAATTACAAAAGCTTAATAGTAACATAATTTTCATAAAGAGGGAAGGAGAGGTTTTAGTGGTCATTATAAAGACAATGCAGCTGAGAAATTAGAAATAATGACGCTTGCATACTAAATAAGCATTTGTGTTTAGAACCTCTTCTATATCTCTTTTGAAATTACTTAGCTAACTAAATTTAAGTATTAAAATATTGTTAATTACATGCTTAAAAATAAAGATAAAATATATGAGAATAAAGTTGTTCAAATATTTTCTCTAATTGGTCATTTGAAGGAATGTATGGTTTTGTGTCAATATAGTAGAGACAAACTAAAAGTATGCACTGTGTATGTGCATGCATGTGAGCTAAAAATGTGACTATATTAGGTCTAATTATTTTACATAAACAATCACCTTAAGCAGTCAGATCCTAAAATTTGGAAAATTTCACAATATGAGAAAATTAAATAATCATTTTTTTTCCTGAGAGAAATCAGTTTGAATAACAAATGGAACTAAAATTTTTGATGCATGTAATATGCCCATATTTGGGATGTTTGAAAACTATATTAGAAGTTTAGGGATATACAGAAAGTCTCAAATTTTTCATGGGAAAATGTCATTAAGACACAATGGCATAGGGAAGAAGCTACTGTATACATACATTCCTGGGATGAGATCTAGGAAATATGGCAGGGGCCAGAATAAACCCAGGGATACATATGATAGCCAACTAAAAAGGAGGGGGAAAAAAAGATAACATGGGTAGCTTGAGGAACAGGGCACTAACCCACCCAAAGGGAGGGTGTTGTTCATATCTCCACAGGGGAAGAGGGACCAGACTTCAACCTGGTGCTCCAAGACAAGAACACAACACAATGACAAGAAGCAGGGAACCGATAAAGAAGTCTGAGGGACCAGCCCCATTACCAAGTGGACAGCCCCTTCTCCCCCCAAAAGAATGCATTTCAGAGGACAGCACTGAAGCTACAGCTCAAGGAGAGGGACGTGTCTGATCAGAGCACATGGGAGCAAACTAGTGGGGAGGAAAAAAGAGTGAAGCACATTCTGGCCCACCAATGCCTAAAAAAAAAAATAATAATGGAATTTTCTTCCTTTCTTTTTTAAAGAAATAATACTTTTATTGGGGGCTCTTACATCTCTTATCACAATTAATACCAATACATTCATCCATTGTGTCAAGCACATTCATACATATACTGCCATCATCATTTTGAAAGCATTTTCTTTCTACTTGAGCCCTTGATACCAGCTCCTCATTTTCCCCCCTCTCTCCTCCCCCCTCCCTCATGAAGCCTTGAAGACTTATAGATTCTTATTTTCATATCTTACATCGTCCTCTGCCACCCTTCACCCACTTTTCTGTTGTTCTTCCCCCTGGGAGGGGGTTATATATTGATCTTTGTGATCGATTCCCCTTTTCTCCCCCACCTTCCCCTTATCCTCCTGGTATCTCTATTCTCGTTGTTGGCCCTGAGGGGTTTATCTATCAGGATTCCCTGTGTTGCAGGCTCTTATCTGTAGCAGTGTGCATGTTCTGGTCTATTCTGATTTGTAAGGTAGAACTGAGGTCATGATAGTTGGGGGAAGGAAGCATTAAAGAACTAGAGGAAGGTTGTGTGTTTCATTGGTGCTATAGTGCACCCGGGCTAAGAAACTATGCCACAGCTACTTTTTTCTCTAAAGACTTCTCAATCTTCAGAGGTAGTTCTTTCTTCCTTTGAATTTTAATAGCAATTACCATGTTGTATAGCAATATGTTTGTTTATGTGCCTGCCTCTGGTCTCACTGTGGCTTCTGTTTTTATCCTCAGTACCTACAGGGTTTGAATGTGTTTGTCACTGTTTGAATCAATGGTACATGAACACATTGGCAACTGTTACCTGGCATGGAACGTTTTGCATGCATATAGAATTCTGTGAGATTTTGCTAGCTATATAACCTATCCCGGTCAAGAGAAATCAAAATATTTTTAAAAGAACACCGGAGTACCCCTATTTGGCAAAGGCCTCCTCATGTGGATAGAAAACTTTATTTTTCCACTTATAATAATCAAACCCAACCTTTGCCTTCTAATTAATTCCAAGTCACAGTGACCCTAGAGGACAGAGTAGAATTGTCATTCATAGCACATCTTCTTTAAAACATAAAACTAAAAATCGCAAACCTACTAGCATGTAGTGTCTTCTGTCTCACAGCGATCCTCTACAGTGTACCCCAAACTGGAAATCTTTAAGGGAACAGCAGCCTCCACTGTCTCCCTCAGATTGGCTGGAGTGTTTTTGTCCAGTCAATCCACAGACAACACTCATAGAGTCGTTTCCTCAAGTGGGGGATACTGCCACCTGGGGGAGGGTGGGGTGGTGATACTGGGACTATCCAGGGAGTTGCAAAATAAGATATCTACACTTTATCCTGGATTCTGAGCAATAGAACAAAACAATTAATTGCTGGGGATGCACTCAGTAAAAAAATATTTCAAGGGGTGGTAGGCCAAAGAAGTTTGGGAACCTCTGCTATACAGGTTGTGGTGGGTGGGACCTTGGGGTGAATAGTCCAATGCATTCTCCAGGGAAAGGTTAGAAAGAAAGGAAGGAAGGAAGGAAGGAAGGAAGGAAGGAAGGAAGGAAGGAAGGAAGGAAGGAAGGAAGGAAGAAGCAAGGGGGAAAAAGCTCCTCCTTTAGAAGCCTAGAGAGAAACCTTGGTGGCGTAGCAGTTATGAGATGGGCTGTTGATCTTAGGGTAACCAGTTCAAAACCACCAGCAATCTTGTGGAAGGAAAGAGGCTTTCTACTCCCATAAATAGATAGAGTCTCTGAAACCCACAAGAGCAGTAGTGGGGTTTTTGTATTTAGTTGTTTTTGTATTTTTGGGGGGGGTTAGAGGCAAGAGATTTAGATGCAGCCTATGTTAATAAACACTAGTTTCATATTTTAAAATTTTGTTTAATAAAGTTTATATTATTTTGTAGCTATAGTTTGACTTAACCAAGTATTTTGTCTCAAAGGTAGATAGAATTTATTTCCCAGAATTTAATTATGATTTGATTGAAGTCGCTTTATTGACATATAAGAGATCCAAATTTCATGGATCAGAATTCATGGAGCCATGATGTAGACAAAACTCTTTGTGAAGGGCTTAGTTGATAGAGAGTGTAGAGAGAATGGCAATACAGATAATAATGATGGTGAAAAGCTATGTACAAATATTTACAAAAAGTCATTATTTATTAAAATATGAACCATGCAAATAAGGAGAAATTATATTAATGCACGAATACAGATGCTGGTATCATAAAAATTAGTGAGATTTCATGGTTACAAGCATTGTCTACGTAAGAATTTTTCTTAATCTTTGTACACATGTATGACAGAAAATAAATATTATTCTTATAAACATACCTTTCTCCTTGTTTCCCACCACTTTTGGGGTTCACAAAGACGAGAAGTGGATGCGTGCCAGGAACGGGAGTGATCTAGATGAAAAGCAGATATTTAAGACAAATTACTCAGTACTTTGTTTATAAAGAGGTCCCTATGTAGTTTCTGTCATGAAATAACAGACATTTTATCATTCTGTTTCACTCTCTAATGCCGAGAATAGTCCATTGAACCCTAGGTTTTGACTACAGATGTTTTATTACCTCTGCCCACAGGAGTCCCCTTTGAAAAGAGAGTGGGGCTTAGCCTACCTCTAGGACACAGAGCAGTCACCTCCAGGTGAGCACCGTTAGCACCAGACATTTACACACATAAGAGGAGTGTTATGCTTTCACCCTAGTTGCGTCCTGCCCCCAGTTTCCCCAAGATATTTTCATAAGCACGCGGCGCTACTTTTTACATGTTATATGACTATATATATGTATAGATATGCATATATATGTATTCACACATGTGTATGGAAGCAAATGGAGGTTAAAATGGACAGGAAAATGAAAGTTGTCAAATCACAGAGAGTTCTGATAACGGAAACTCTTCCCTGAGACCTTTGGGACCTGTGTTAGCTCCATCTTCCCACACAGCTATAAACTACGCATTTGAAGTATTGATGCTGCTTTCTGGGAGCCCTCACGTCACAGTCTTTCCCCAGCGTGTTCCTCCCCCGTGGGGAGTCCCTGTCGAAGAACAGCAGCCCGTGACGTACTGGTCACAGCTTCGCTCTCAGGAACTGTGGCAGCAGTAGACATCACACACTGATTTCTCTCCTCCTCCCTGACCCTCAAACAGGGGACAAGGCCTCCATGTAATGCATCTTATATTCGAGTGGGATAAAAGATGAAAATAAATAAAATTATTAATAATGAAGCATACAATTAAGAAAAACAATGCTCCAGGCAAAGTTATGGCATTTATTGATGAGAGATAGAATTGATTTAGTCAGGATGGGAAAGGGGAAGTCTTGGAATATACCTGACTTTAATGTTAAGATGTAAAATTTTAAAATAAAAATAGTTCCACTCAATGTATTGCTATATATCTCCCAGCTAAATAAATTTTGAGAAAGTTAATGAAAATATTTTAATAACTAAGATATACAGTTAATGGAACTCTTTAAATATTAAGTTAAAAAGTTTAAGATCAATCTACTTTCAAAAAGTAAATTCAAAGTATCTTTACTGCAACGTTATTTCTCCCCTAGAAAGAGCTTTTAATATTAATGAGACAATTAAAAAAAATTATTTCACCATACCATTTCCTTCCTTCCTGTTTGCTTAAGCAAAATTACATAAAATATTCTACCAATACATCTTTCTCCTTTTGCTAAACTAATTGACATATTTTTCTAATGACATAATTTTCTAACCAAGAAAATGTTAAAAAATAAATCTTCACATTTGGTAAATAAAAAGGTCGGGTAAAATAGTCTTAATTTCTCTACTCTGATTTGACTAGCTCTTTTGGTAATTTATTAATGTGCCTGTCTTTGCTTTATTTTATTTTCAAAAGAGACTAAGAGGTTCTAGCCCTTGATTTGCTCATTCAACTAGGAGCAGTGCTGGATTTTCGCTGGTTTGCACCAGCTCAGCAGAACTGAGATCTAATTTTTTTTTTTTTTTGCTGAGTTCATTGAATCCGTTGTTAAAATGGCACTTAATCGGGGTTCTTGTATCAGGTGAGCAGCCACTCAATAGGGCCATCTCAAATTTACCTTCCTTACTCTTTTTTTCAAGGTCCCTCTGCTCAACAGCACTATTCTGATATCATGTTGAAATGACAAACTACATTCGGTGTAGCACTTTTAATACGTAAAATTGTCATGAGGGCAGCAAACTGATTGTTAAATTGTTTGAATCCCACCACTGGCTGGGACATAACTGGATCTACAGTGAGTACATGTGGAGCCCATTGTCCTACTGGCTTCAACACTTACTCCTCACCCTGAATATTAAATAAAGGAACATCGACAAGTGCCGTGTCTAAAAATTAGTGTTCAATTTTATTTCTCAACCCATGACAAAATCAGAGATCCTGAAGTGTGTACACACAAAAATAATGCCAGCAGATGTGTAAGTTAGCAGATTTTTGCACTTAATTGAATTGTTACTCAGTTTTAAATAGAGGTGCGACGCTCAAGGTAAACAGAGGTTGGCGAGGATAGCACTGGCTGAATCCAAATGCTCATTAGGAGGACGTGCCCTCCCTCCGCACACGCACCAGTCAGTGAAGGGTACACAAGGCAGCAAGATTTGGAAGCAATTTGGAAATATGTTTGGAATGCCTTTCAAAGATATTTATTCATTAGGATAATTAAGCACTGCATTAAAGTTATCAACTAAAAGTCAATACGATCTTATAGAAACTGTTTGGTCCTTTGTTTATGTTATTGTGAATGGGTGGGGGCGGGGGCGGGGGGGCGAATCTAGAGGAAATCTGTTTTCCGGAAACAATCCGTGCAGACTTTGATGACATCAGACGCAATTCCCTCAGTGCAACAGCACTCTTTCCACTGCCTCCCTGGGTTCCCTGGTTTGTCCACCCTCCTCTCCCATCCCTTCCGGCCTTTGGAGCTTCGCTTTTGGGAAAGTGCTGGCCTTTCCATTGCTGGTGGTTTATCAATTTCTCTGAGCACAAAGATCCTCCAGACCTGGAATGGACACCCTACCGTCCACCTTCCACCTGGGCGCACCTTTTCGTCAAACCATAGACAGTAAAGTGAACGATGACACTTTTGGAGAATGCATTCGTCAATGATATTTTTTAAGTGAATTTAAATATTTTTTGTCGTTGAGAATATACACAACTGCGCATGCACCAAGCTAATAATTTCTACTTGAACAATTCAGTGACTCTCATTACATTCTTCAAGTTGTGCAATCAATTTCACCATCCGCTGTAGAATTGCTTCGCCCTCATCAACATAACCGTGGCACCCTTACCTTTCCAACAAATCATTGGAATTACTGTTGTCTACGTGAGCCCATATAAATAGTTCTTACAAGACAACAGTACGCAAGATAGACTTTTTACTAATTAAGTTAAACTATATTGTGTGACATTAAAAAACATTGGTAAGTAGTTTTGGTTCGTTTAAGGTTTCTGCTTTAAAGATTGTCTCAGGACCATGATTTCAGGGGTTCATCACTCCAGGATATCTGCTTCCCATCAAAGTTTGAAATTCTGTTCTGTGTTTTCACCATTTTTTGAGGGGAAAAAAAGGTCAGTAGTAGTAGTTGAGTACTAAACGGTTTATTTTCTCTCCATCGCATAGGAGGCAGTGCTCATTGGAGATATTTCATCACGTACTATATTTCTTCCTTTCATTTCTGCATCTCCTCCTTCCTCCATTGCATCAGAAAGAAGACTAACTGTATCTCAGTGACCACCTGAGAGCTTCCCAGACACCAGGAATTACACAACCACACAGGGGAGAGAATGGAAACACTAAAGCAGGTTTTAGGGTAAGTAATTGGGACATCCCATGAAATTATGTTCCTTAGCCTCAAAAAAAACCCCAAAAGTAAACACCATAAGGAATAAAGCTGCATTTGGTCTTAAACAAATTATCTCCTAGGGAGAGACTGTAGTTTATAAAGTATATCAGAATAAAGTACACATACACACAAACTACCTATCATTTGATGGGTGGATAGATGAAAAATCCATCAAATTAATTATAAACATATAAAGGAAAGTATTAAAGTGCATAGTTATCAAATGATGATACATTGGAAATTTTAAAAATAGAAAAGCCAATATGGAAATACAGTAATAAAAACTGAACTATTACGCTTTTCATTCATGCAGCTATTTATCATAAATCATGTTTATTAAATGAATACAAATAAATCATTTGTAACCTTACATATTTATCTGAATATTTTCTGGCACTGTACAATTGTAACCCTTTAATAATTATGACAATCGGTAAAATACCTGACCTCATGTCACCCACATTTTGGGGTGAAATGAGACGTGATAAAACTACAGCTTCGCCAAGATAGCGGTGTGAAAGAAACATTTAATGGTGTTATAACAGAAATGTCACATTCCAGGCAAATTTGGCACCTGTTTTCACTGCTCAAAGGACTCTGAAATCCTGTTAACCTTTGCTCATATAAAAAGAAGCCCAATCCAGTAAAGTAAGTTTGCATGGCAAGAAACCAAGAGGTTACAGTGGAATCCCGGCACTCGACCGCATCCGTACTGGACAGAATCAGATTTTGACGCAGAATATTGAGAAAATTTTGCATGGGAGCTCAAAGAAAACTTTGGAATAGAACCTGATGCGCGTGATTTTTGTGAACAAAAGCAGTTTGTGTTTCAGTCACTCAGCGTTAGTTGGCGTGGTTAGTACTGTTGTTTAAACATTTTGCAGCTGTGTTCCAAACGTCTTAGCATCATTTTATTAGTTTTTGTGGCTTTTTGTACTGTTTTAAGATAAAAATCATGGATCCTAAGAAAGAGTTTTTTGAATAGAATCATCATGATAAGGAACTGGTTAACCGTGTTATTGACATTCTTGATGATAATTTAGTAAGCTCTTTTAGAAAACATTTTAGGAAACGCCAGCAGCAGACCACATTAGACATTTTTTTTGTTTTTTTAAGAGAAAGCCAGCCAGGTCCTAGTGAAAAAAGGCAAAGGAGGGAAAAACTCCTGAAAAGCAGCTACCAGTGGATTTGATGGAAGGGGATTCCCCTTCCAAACATGACTCTCTCTCCATCCCTCCTCTCCACATCCGGTCCACAGATCCAGATCCTCTTCCATCTCAAGGTATGGGCCATATTGTATTTGTCAAAAACTTTTTTTTGTTTTTTGTGTGTGTTTCTTATTTAAATCATATGATTTAACTCTGAACTTATTTACTTTGAAATTTCTGGGTCATATTTTGTATAAAAAGACAAGGTTAGGGTTGACAGATTAATCCATTTTCGGTTATTCCTTATGGGAAAGATTGATTCGGAACTCGACTGCATCGCATCTCAACCCATCTTCTAGAGCAGATTAACGCTGAGGTCCAGAGCTCGACTGTATT